CAACTCATGAGACAAACATAATGAAATGAATCGCTAAAGCCACTCCATTCTTTGCCCTGATCTTGGGGGGGGGAAGGAGGGGGGCTTTAGTTTTTGTTTATTTGCAGAGTTGGCGTGAAATCTGGGCATCAGCCTGCATGGGAAGTGGGGTGTCAGATAGGAGAGGGAAACGGAAAAGCATCGGAATAAGACACCTACTGCAGCATCTCTCCCAAGGGTCTCCATTGTGTTCATGGGAAGCATCATGGTAATGACAATATCACTAATGTACCTCAAACTGGTAAACTTTCTGTCCGAGACCAAGATACCATGGCAAGAAGCATGGTCGAGGCAGGCAGATTGGGACAGTGGTCATGAAGCATGCTGGTTAAACACAGGCTAGGGAGAATTTCTATGGCAATATACTCACGTGTTGGTTAATAGGAACTGATAACGCTTAGAGTTTCATACTGCTGCCTGTCACTGTACTATTTTAGCACCTAAATGGGCAGGGGAAGGGGAAGTTACTATTTCAAAGGTACTTCTGTCATTTCTATTTTCAATATCACTTCCGATCAGGCAACAGGCAATCACACGCAAGGGTAACACTGGGTTGTGCGTGAGGTTACACAATGACCAGATTTAATGGGAGAATGGCTATGCTGGGAATTGTGGTATGCTGGGATAATTAAAATGTCTTAGCAAAGCAAAAGCATCCATTAAATACAACTGGCATCCAAGCTTTGTACTCTAATTTATTGTCATTGTTTGAATGCAACACATTTTGTACATGCAAAGATCCACCATGGACAGCAGTTGACTGTAGTTCACTTTTATTGCAGTTCCTTGTCACATGTTCATCTGCTTTTCTATTGATATGAAAACTCTTTGTTGTAAAATATAAAATTACTTCTGTACAGAACACTCAGGGGAGGGACTGGAATGGGATTCATTTGTATCTTTTACCAAATAAGACACTGTAATTTTCTCTTTTTTACTTTAAAAATATAGGTACTTTCCCATATGTTCAATTTCTTGGTAACATTTATTTTTGCAATGATTAAAGTGCCCCAAAAATCCTGCTTCATTTTCCAAGTTCATGGAATATGGATATAGATAAGGCAGATGCAAAACATCACAGAGGGTAGGGATAATATATTGTACTGATTTGTCTTTCCTAACAGAACTCAATTTCCTCATGCTGTCAGCTTCTTTAATCCCTTTGAGAAATGCTCACAGCACACTGTTAGAAAATATCATCTTTTGTAAATATCTGGCAACGCTAAACTTGGAATCATAGTCATACAAGTAGATACACAACAGACAGAATATCTGTATTACTTAGGAAACTATGTAGTACAAAATATCTTCTATAGCACAACATATTTATTCCTTGTGTGATCCATATTTACATGTTCTATAAGGCTATGCAGAATGATATAAAAGTTTTTATCTATACAATAGCTCCTTTAAACAGGCTTGATACAGTCAGCATGTTCAATATGGTAAGAAGAAAATCCATAAGCCACACAACCTTCCCCTTCTCTCCAAATCCCATCAATAGGATGAAAAAATCATTTTAACACATATTTTGGTACAAATATTTTCAGCTGAGGGATGGGACAGACCAAACAGTGGTTTGAAGTGCTTCAGAGAAAGCACATTGATATGAGAAACGATTTCCAATCCCCCTGGAACTGACATATTTCACATACGGCTCATCACACATTCTCCCTGCCCTATAACAATGTAATCAAGAGCCTGCATTGACCACACCACCTTAGACTCTGGTATCCTGGATGACTGAAGAGTCGGAATATTGTACTCATTGGTCCATATTCAAACCCGCTGTAAAAGGCAGCACTCCACAGATGTTAACGTGGTTGCAGCCAACCAGGGAAGCCTGGTCTTCACTCGGGGGGAAAAAGGTGTGTTCTTGGCTCCAGTGAAAATCCTACATAACTAAAAGTAGACTCCTAGGGAAGAAGTCGATTCAACAAGCAAACTGCCTTGTCTTTACTAGGACTGTACTTCAAGTTAGCTAGCTTGAGTTCAGAACATATCTTTTTCCTAGTGAAGACCAGACCTTACCCCAAATCTGGATTTGTCCCTTCATCCTGGGGTTGGGTTAATTAGCAATGCACTGTTCGCACCTTGCAAACTTAGCTGCAGAAGTGGGCTGTGAGCTCTAAGAGGACATACTTTGCAAAAAATAAAATAAAATAGGGGCCCAGAGTTAACATGCAGAAACAGCGGAGACCCTTTCTAATCTAATGTTTAAAGGCCAAACGCCGCCTTCGGATATTGGTGTAGATCTCATCTAACCCAGTGAGAGCATCACACGTGCCACAGGACAGAATTTGCCTTACCCACCCAGGTACTTAGCTGATCCTCATCACTGTAGTATCAGAGTGCCTCTGAGATGGGTTTAAGGAGGTGAGCTCCTAGCACTATGTATGGAGTGAGTAAGGGTGAACAATATGGTCTCTTCAGTTAAACAGATGCTGTAATGTTGTATGAAGGGCAAATAGGAGAGAAAGGAGTTTTCAAGATAGTGCAGAGTTCCACATTCATAGATCATTCCCGAGTGGCCATGTTAGCAAACACCCTGCCCCACAAGGACACATTGGCTTGCTTTATATTGTTTATTGTATTACTTACATTCAAGAATATTAGAAAAGAACATTTACCTCCAGGCAGAAATTGTTTCATGTTTTAAATATGAACCTGTGCAAAAGAACTTAAAGATTGTCAGCATTGTCAACTACATTCTTTTCCTCCTGAGATAGCAGATTCTCTCTTGCGGTTTAACCTGCCTGAACTGTCCAGTTGCAGAAGTCTGGATCAGTTACAGTTATCAGTTCAGGTACAGCTTAGCCTGACTGAAGGGGTTTTATACTTCACTGACATGGAAAGGTATTTGTATGGTAATAAGAGACACTGGGCCCAACTAGATTGACAGAGGTTTAACAGTCTATGGAACTGACCCATTTGGCCTACTCGAAGAAAACCAAATTTCAGTAAGTTAGCAGTGAACCTTTACACCCTCAGAACAGCCATATTGAACATATTTGCATCTCCCAAATAATTACATTTCAGTGACTTCCATTATATTTTACAAAACAGACCATGCCTAATTCATGCCAATTATTCTACACACACCTTCACACAACTCCTTCTCTTATCCTATAGAACACGTTGCCTGTTTATTTCTAAAACACATTTCTATCGTCACAGAATTGTAACATTTTGGACATTTGGCGCAATGGGAGTTTGGATTGATCAACTCTTTTGGTTCCAAAGATTCAAATAAAATGTGTGACGGGCCCTTCAAAAGCCAATTACACTCAGTTTCCACTACATACCTTTAATGGTATTGGGCATAGCCCTGTACATAGCCAGGATGCAAAGCGTAAAGAAGGCAGCTAACATCACTGGGTGCCTAGATTTTTAAAGATTCTAAACTATTTATATTAAACTTATCCTAGAATTGTTCTGATCGCTATTGTGCTATCTGGGTTCAGCAGAGCTCTCCATGTAGCAACTTCAATTAAACCACATCCACTGTTTGCTACCTTACACACTGCAGGCATATTAAGTGCATGTGCAAACTTGTAAAATTCATGAAAAACTAATTGATAATGCTGCTCTGGATAGTATGGTTGGGCAAAAGTTTGCCAACATATGTGGATATACTGGAGAAAGTCCAGAGGAGAGCAACAAAAATGATGAAAGGTTTAGGAAACATGACCTTTGAGGAAAGATTGAAAGAATTGGGTTTGTTTAGTCTGGAGAAGAGAAGACAGAGCGGTTTTCATGTACATAAAAGATTGTTACAAGAAGGGAGAAAAATTGTACTTGTTAACCTCTGAGGCTAGGCTAGGACAAGAAGCTATGGGCTTAAATAGCAGCAAGGGAGGTTTAGGTTAGACATTAGGAAAAACTTCCTAACTGTCAGAGTAGTTAAACATTGGAACAAATTGCCTAGGGAGGTTGTGAAATCTCTCTCATTGGAGGTTTTTAAGAGGAGGTTAGACAATCATTTGTCAGAGATGGTCTAGATAATACTTAGGCCTGTCTTGAGGACAGGGGACTGGACTAGATGACCTCTCGAGGTCCCTACAATTCTATGATTCTATGATCTGTGAATTAGTAGCTGGCAGTTTCTGATATACAATCCTTCTGGTAATTTGCCAGCAATTACTAGGTGATCAAAACAAAATACCAGAGTGTGGAAAGCTAAATCTCTGTGCAAGCAAGAAGCAAGTTTTTTAATCCTACACAACCATGTTAAAAATGTTAAAATGGAAAGCAGAAATTTAGCATCTTTGTGTACAGCAGGTAATACAAAACCAGTAAAAACACTGACAGCGTATACTGTACTAACCTCAAGATACACAGCCATAAACAAGGTGAATTTGCAAAACGAATAAAGGAGAAGAAAAGGCCAATTGGCGATTCCAGTGAATATGAAATTTACAGACTTGTACTGATTCTAAAACATCAGTGGATTAAAATTCTAGGGAAGGATTCTCCTAATTTCAGTGAAAAAAGGGGCATTAATGACTATTTCCAAGTTCCATACACCAGCCTGATTTACATTTACTTTTTGAAACTATTGATCTACTAATGCAGCTGTGGGATGAAGAGCAGATAAAACTGATGGTCTTAAATAAAAACAAAATACTTCTGCAAAAGCACCTTGTATTCAATGGCAAATGCCAAACACCAGCTACCTCCATCTATCGCACTTACAACGAGAGTTCAAGTAAAAGCGAGTTAAGAGTTAAAACTTACAAAAAAAAATCCTACATGAAGAACATGCTGCAGGTAAGAGCTCATTCCTGGCTCAGATTAACAGCAAGTTTTAATCTGTGATTTTTAAAGTAAAATAGTGAAAAGTTTCATAAGCATTATTTAAAATTAAAATGGAATTTATCTAAAGAAAGAGTTTTACAGCATGTTATTATATGTGTAATAAATATTTAGGATGTCAATAATTACATGGTGGGAACCTGGAGTCACAAGAGAAAATAGATATTTAATTCACATACAATACGAAGAAATAAAAGATCAGGAAAAAAACCACTATCCCATTCAACCTTATCCTAAAGCTTTTTTTTAGTCATACATATTTAAGATTAAACATTTCTCACTAGCAGTAAAACTACAGTAAATTTCAGTGCATTGTCCATGAAGAAATGGAAACGTATACTCATTCAAAGGGCTTTGCCAATATGCAAAACCAATCCCCTCAGTGTATCAGAACGCACAGCAAAAACACTGCAGCTAATAATCTAAAGAGTTTGTGGCTTTCATTTTGTTGCATCAGGAAGTGTTAGACAAAATGCTCTGACTGTCATTAAAGAGACACTATCAAGTTGCTCAATCCTAACATTAATCCTCCCTCAGCGCTTTTATGGTCACAAGGAAATTTATCTGGGTTTTGAATACCTTAAAAAAACAAAACAAAACAAGCCACCCACACGCTTAGCAAGGGAAATTAAAAGTGACCAACATTCTTCTGTCACACCTAAAAACCCTGCAGCTAATACTGTTCAAATTGTACTCGCCAACACCATCAAGCACATCTGGTACACCACTGACAAAACAAGCTGGCTGACGCATTACAAGCACAGAAAAATATAAAGCTTGCCTAAAAGTTACATTTCCAAAATAAAAACAGGTCCCACACCACAAACAAGGGCAGAAAATATATACAACTAGTTTTAAAAAGCAGTCAACAGTGTCTCTTTAAGAGTTTGGACAAATGCGCTCCTCTGGAAGCTTTTCCCCCTTCCCCTTATGGGCGGCGGGGGGAGAGGGGGAGTTATCCACATGAAAGAGGGCAGAAGTGTGACTCTGTTCGGCAGTAATATTTGAGAATTCACCGACCTCTGGCAGAAGAAACTGTAAAAGCAGTGTCTCTGGCATTGTCACCTCTCTTACATGGAGCAGGACAAAGAACTGAACAAAGACATTTTTATTTTGAAGTGGAAAAATATTCATTTGTATTTCTATAAAATAAGGGGTGCTACTGTTAGAACTCTGATATTAAAAGGGAGAAGAGCATACTGGTCATCTCTCTTGACATACTGCAGTTATTTACTGAAGTATGGGCTGGGAGTGAAATCACCTCATTTGTGACTTCTTTATGATAAGAGTTGGCACATGGTTTATGGCAGCTAACAACTTGATGGATGGCAGACAAAGGTTATCCCTTTGGCTAGCAGGTGCACTGTTGTGGTAGTACCACATCAGACAAGCCTTCTGAAATGCTCAGCAGAAAAAGGGAAAATGCGTGCAAGTGCTGGTGCCTGATTTTTAACATTTAATTTAAATAACTTTTCAGCAGGAGACAAGAACTGTGTGTTTTGTTCCCACAATGCAACTATGTGCAGCTTCATCACATTTGACTGTTGAGGCCCAAACAGTTTGCCACAGAAGGTTACGAGAATAGCAGAATAGAAAGAGCTCATCTACTTTGATTCAATTCTCCTTTCCGTGTCACTTACTCTCCTTATCAGAGTCCTGGGCGCGCCTACCTTACAGAATGAGCTTTCCTGTTAGCGTGTATTTTTAAAGATTTTCTGAAAAGAGCACTTGGGGAAAAGAAAGTAACTAAAACATATTTTAAATACAATATCCATTTATAATTTACTTATAAATGGACTTCTTGGTTAAAACAAATCTTGCCGATTTCAGAATCTGGATCCAAAGACATCAAAACTCTTCTGATGTGACTGTCACAGCTGTGTTGTGATGTTAGTACTATCTACATTGTTAACATACCAACATTTGGTCTTAAAGTAAAATATATAGATCATTTCATAAACAGTTGAGAAGTGAGAGATTGCATTTAGGTTATCCCACAAAATCAGCATAAAAATAAACACTTAAAATTGATATTTACAAAGGTAACTAATAAAAATATCCAGTGAGACAATCTGAGGTGCTTCTAGAATGACATTTAACAATTACCTGGAACCCTCATATTGACAAGACTATACATCCTTCTCGCCTCTTCCTTTTTAGTAATAAAAACAATATTTACATCTATTTTTAAAGAGAATTGGTTGACATTATTGCTTTATCGTCTTAAGAATATGACATTCTAATGATGCATTTACACTACATGCTGACAGACCAGACAATCCTAGTTAAAGAATGAAAAATTAACATTATGCTCAATCTAAAACTCAACTTGATCTGTGTGATCAGCAGATCATGTGCAAGCATCAGCCAATCAAAAATACCTTTAAAAAAATATCAGTCAAGTTTAATTTTTTAATATGGCAGTAAACATGATTTGTTCTTTCACTCTCTCTTCCACAAACTTCATTCTGAATATGAACCACTATTAGTTCACAAGAAAGATGATTTAATTTAAAATTTTCTTATTTTCATAAACAAATACAAATCCCAGCCTTTACACTTGACACGCCTACCAGCATTCACATGCTTGAGTTGCTGAACATAGCTTAATTCTGCAGAGATGTCATCTTTGTTCGAAGGCAAGGGGACTTTTTGTGATGCGCCGTATATCCTAGAACAAATGTTACCCTCAGGCAAGACCTTCTGAAGTGCTAACTATACTGCATCATCTCTTACTTCAAGTAGTTCTAAAGTGACTATATCCTTCCCTATCTGAGAAGATACAGCTTTGTATTTGTCTACGAATATTAAGCAGCTTTCTCCACGAAGCAGGAAGGCACCATGCACATAGCAGTCGAGGCAGGAAGCAAACAGCAGCAGCATGATGTGTGAATTTTAGGTTCAGATGAGTTAAGGCTTCTGTTATACTTCTATGTCTTTTCCTAGTCATAATCAGGGTCTGAAAAGGGGGGAAAAAACAGAAGCTCTTTGAATAGCTGCAGTATGACATTGTCCATAAATTCAACCAACCCCATCACCCTCGGGACTCTCACGTCTCTGTGATATGTGTGCACCATCGATGATGTTCTTTGCATGTTGCTGGTGCAGCAGCAGCAGCCACAAACTATTCTGTGTTATTAAATTGCATATGAACTATTAAGAGCATCACTGAAACCAAGTGCTCCAATGGTTTAAACATCTATCGGCAGAACCTGCCCGTTAACCAATGACAACACTTAGTAGTAGGACTCTACATATTGTTATAAAATTAGCAGACTAATGAATATTATAATAGAATTGCCTGCCGAGAAGTGAATAGTGCCTTCATCTGGGCTAGTAAATAAGGCTACACAACAATAAGGGAAAGGGGGAAACTGCATAATGTGTACAGTAAATTCCAATGAAATCTGATCTGCTTCATTATGGAACTATTTTACTGCCTTGGACATGGATTGCACAGTTACATACAACGTGTGTATACTCTATGCTTGCAGAGTCCTTCTACAGGCATGTTCAGAACAGATTTTCCAGTCAAAGCTTATCATTAGCATCCGCTTTAAGGGGCTTGAGCATTGCAAAGATGTGTCTGCTGCATGTCCATCCACGTGGCTGTACCAGTCACAGAAGGAGCTCACCCATGCCCTGTGGAAATAGGGTGGGAATACCGAACATACATTGTTGCTGCCAGGCTGCAAGGGCTAAGGGTAACTGCATGGTACGTTCTCCTTCAGCTAAGAATCTCTTTTGGCTGAAAAGACAGGAGACTTCGCAGCACAGCAGTCAAATGCAAATGCTACAGAGTAACTCCTCTATTTTTGCTGTACTGTACCTGCTCAAACCTGATTCTCGGGCTGGCTCTGCCTCTTCTTCGACTTCAGCTCTTTCAGCCATTGAGGGGACATTTCTTCTGACCTAAGGACACAGCAAAATAAACTTTATCCTACACTAACAATCCCTCATTACAGAAACAAAAACAAAATAAGCCATAACCTTCTAGGATCCTAGCAAGGAAATGAAGGAGCTATTTCTGAATTTACTGCTTGCTGGAATTTAAACTCCGCTCTCACCTGTTCTCCTTCTCAGCACTAGAGGGCAGTACCCTGCCACCAGGAGCTCCTTGCTGGAATTGGGATTTAAATAGCTGTGCAGAATTTATTTCACTGGGACTCTCGGGCTCTTGTCTTTTCCGAAGCTGAGCCTAGAAGAAAGGTTTATTTTTTAAAAAGCTGCTTTTAGATTTCCTTGGAGGACAATCTGATCACTCAAATCATTTCACTGGCTTATGAAGCAACAGAAAGCACAAGTCTGAAATCCATAAACTGCATACATTCATAATGGAATTTACCATAAATCTGAGCTGTTTTGAAAACATACACAAACTATGATGAATTTAAATTTCCTTCTAAACCACTGCCAATATTTCTATCAATAATACAGGGTCAATGAGTGAAAAAGCTATTTACAACATCACTATAAATTTCTTAGGTCATCTAACAGATCATCAGTTTTTCTCTTCTGAACTGTTCAAACTTCATTGCACCGCAACGCCCTTCCGACAACAAAAATTACTATACAACCCCAGGGAGGGGGACCAAAGCCTGAGCCCTCCCGAACCTCACTGTCCCCGGTGGGGGGACCAAAGCCAAAACTCAAGGGCTTCAGCTCCAGGCAGAGGGCCTGTAACCTGAACCCCACTGCCCAGGGCTGAAGTCCTCAGGCTTCGGCCCCGGGAGGTTGGGCTCGGGCTTTGGCCCCAGCAAGTCTAAGCCAGCCCTGGTGACCCCATTAAAATGGGGTTGTGACCCACTTGGGGTCGTGACCCACAGTTTGAGAATCTCTGGGTTAATGTATAAATTGCCCTTTCTGGGATTCTTGCACCTTCCTCTGGAGAGCATCTGATGGTGGCCACTGTCAATCATGGGATACTGGACTAGATGGACCCCTGACACAATCTAGTAAGATTGGTGTATTTTCACCTTGAGAACAGAGTGGTCCATGCCTGGAAAAACAGGAAGCCTCTGAGGTTGCATAGCTGAGGATCTCTCAGTTTGGTGTATTTTTTCTTCCTCATCAGAATCTTCCTGTTTTGTAGATTTCTCTTCTAACAAAAAGTACAATGACCAGATGTTATTTCACACCCAGACACATTTAAATAGAAACAAAGCAAGTTGGTCAGCAAACTTTCTGTCCATGCCTTGACCTCATAACCCTCTTCCTATGTAACAATGTAACATAATAGAATCATGAAGACTTAGTGGAAGTCATTTGACATGATTTAGCACTCATACCATAGCGATGGGCACATTGTAAATACCTAATGGTAGAGAGAGACTGTTTATTAGGGCTGTAAAAGGGCAGAATTGTATACTTAAATTAATTCAGCTATTTCTTCTGAATTGCTCAGTTTATACATTAAAGCATAAAAGCACGTGTGTGTCTGTTACAGTTCAGTTTACAATAGCTCAGTTCACTCACATTCACTGGCCTCTTACTTGGAAATTGCTTTACTACATTTTGGCTTTGCACAATCATCATCAGAGGTCACAGCTTGAACCAAAAACAGCTGCAGCTTTGTAATATTAACATTTTTGAGTCAATGTCTTCAAATAAACACTGCATTTTGTATTGAGTCAGTCCGTAATGGTGCATGCAAGTGCAGCTAGTCACTAGTAACATGAGAACAGAGCAGCTGGCACACTCAACCATGCAACAGCTGGGACAACTTGCTCTTCATCTCCCTCAAACAGAAACCAGCAGAGCGGCTAGTTTGAGCGTACACTCTTCTCTCCCATCCACTGAGCCTTAAGATCCTTCACTGTATTCTGTGCTTCCCTGGGGAGTCCAGAGCACTGCAGCCATAAAGCTCGATGCAGAACTAGGGTCAGCTGATTGAGAGAAGACGGTAAATACACTTTGACAATTGCCTTTGGTGACGAGGGCTTGAAACTGGTCCTTCTGCTCTTGTGCCAAAGTAAGAACATTTGCTATAGTTCATAACGTTGTACTTTGCCATCAAGGCGTGATAGCTGACTACTCAGGAACTGTAGGGCAGCCAAAGAGTAGCTTTTGTGGCCAGGAAGGTGCAGGAGCTTAAGACCATTGTTATGAGGTGTTGATCTAGACCAGGGGTGGGCAAACTTTTTGGCCCGAGGGCCACATCTGGGTGGGGAAATTGTATGCAGGACCATGAATATAGGGCTGGGGGTTGGGATGCGGGAGGGAGGGTGGGGTATGGGAGGGTGTGCGGTATGCAGGAAGGGGCTCAGGGCAAGGGGTTGGGGTACAGGAGGGGTGCGGGGTGCGGCAGGGGGCTCAGGGCAGTGGGTTGGGGTGCAGGAGGGAGTATGGGGTGTGGGAGGGTGTGCTATATGCAGGAAGGGACTCAGGGCATGGGGTTGGGGTGCAGGAAGGGGCTCAAGGCAGGGGGCTGGGGTGCACAGGGGTGCGGGGTGCGGCAGGGGGCTCAGGGCAGTGGGTTGGGGTGCAGGAGGGAGTATGGGGTGTGGGAGGGTGTGCTATATGCAGGAAGGGACTCAGGGCATGGGGTTGGGGTGCAGGAAGGGGCTCAAGGCAGGGGGCTGGGGTGCACAGGGGTGCGGGGTGCGGCAGAGGGCTCAGGGCAGGGGATTGGGGTCCAGGAGAGGGATCATGGCAGTGGGTTGGGGTGCAGGAGGGGTGTGGGGTGTGGCAGGGGGCTCAGGGCAGGGGGTTGGAGGCTCAGGGCAAGCAGTTGGGGTGCAGGAGGGGTGCGGAGTGTGGGAGGGGGCTCAGGGCAGGAGGGGTGTGGCAGGGGGCTCAGGGCAGGGGGCTGGGGGCGGGGTGCAGGAGTGGTTTGGGGTGCGGGCTCCGGCCCGGCGCTGCTTACCTCGAGCGGCCAGCATGTCCGGCAGTGGCTCCGGAGGGTGGGATGGGGCAGGCGGCTCTGCCACGTGCTGCCCTTGCCTGCTGGTACCACCCCTGAAGTTCCCATTGGCCGAGGTTCCTCGTTCCCGGGCAATGGGAGATGCGGGGGGCAATGCCTTCAGGCGAGGGCAGTGCACAGAGCCCTCTGCTCCCGCCTCCCTCAGGGGCTGCAGGGATGTAGTGCCGGCCGCTTCCGGGAGCAGCGCGGGGCCAGGGCAGGCAGGGAGCCTGCCTTAGCCCCGCTGCGCCACGGGGCTAGCAATCCTGCAGGCCGGATTGAAAGACCTGACGGGCCAGATCCGGCCCGCGGGCCGTAGTTTGCTCTCCTCTGATCTTGACCAACGTTGCCCGCTTCTCTCATTAATGGCATTGACTACCAGAGACTTTGGGGTGAGATGGGAGAAAAGGCACTCTGAGCCCGTAGCTGGTACATAGTGCTTCTTGTCAGCCTGCAGGCATGTAGGTAAGGCAGTAGCTAGCGTTTGCCATAGTGTACAGGCTGGACGCTATAGGGCATCATTAATGGGCAAGGCTATCTCGCTTTGAGGAGAGGTATGTACAGCATGCACCGGGAGTGCTGTGGTTCTTGTATCTCCTCCAAGGGATCGTTAAAGCCTCAGTCTCCTCCTTCATCCATTCTTGGAAGTCTTTGAAGTCACCCATGTAGGATGGGGGAGGGGACATAACTGCCTTGTCTCATGAGGAAGAGGATTATTAAATTGTTGGGCCTCCTCTTCTGCCCTTAGCTCTTGTTCTTCTAAAGGATCTTCCTTGGGAAGAGGGTTCTGGGGTACCAGTGGGGACACTCTATAGAACTGATCACCAGACAGGATCCAAGGGTTCCAGAAAGCCCAAAGTGGCAGGGCATAAGGAAAGGGAGAGGGAGCCTTCAGGATGCTCTTACCAAGGCTGACGGGTCCTTAGGATACAGCACAGGAAAAGTGGTAGAATCCTGTACGGAAATGTCTGAGTCTGGGAGGAGCTAAGGGTGTCGGTACCCGTGGTCAAGTTGGTACAGGCAGTCACATTGGTACCGGAGACCAAGATTTTGTGTGAGGTTGCAGCAGCACTAGAGAGTATGCCAGTACCTGAGGGTATATCACTACTGGCAAAAATCCTTCTTGGTATTCCTCAGGAGAGGGAATTTGGGCTCTACTGACATTTGGAGAGCCTCTTGAGAAAGAAATCCAACCAGTATCAGAGCTCTTAGACACTGATCCTCAGGTTGAGATGCGTCAAGTGGTACTGGTCAGGGTATGGATGGGATGGTCCGTACGCCCTTTATGACCATGGCTCAAGGAAGAGGTGAAAGATGCTTTCTTCAAAGAGTCCCTCCCTATGCTTGCAGGGCTCCAATGGAGGCTACCACTTGCTTGCTGAGAGACTTCTTGGTACACAGTGTGCTAGAAGCCTTTTTTTGGAGGTATCAACCTCTTGGTACCAGAGGAACTATAAGCCTCAGCATTACCCATCTTGTGAGGCCAGCTCTCCTTATTTCCTGGTCTCTGGGCCAATTTCTCCCATCTGGGAATCAAGGTATTTTCTTTTTAGTAGCTTTTGAAGTCTTTGAAGGTGTCCCTTCATCTCTGCTCACTGGAGCTGAAGAACTCACTGGAGTGGCCCGAGAGGCTGACCCCAGTGTATGGGTGAGGGGGTGGAAAGGTACAGGGGAAGATTTGGCCTATGAAGTAGAGGTGGGTCTCAAAGTGAATGCTCGATAAGGAGCGACTTCAGCCTCTCTCAAGTTCCCGGATCTGCTCTTGAAGCTAAAGCAGAAGACTCTCTGAAACTGCTGGAATGCCCATCCTTGAGAGGAAAGGACCTGTGTCTGGTCTGTCAAGGTTTGAAGCCCAGGGTTTTGGGCACGCCCAAGAAAGAAAGGCGGCAAATGAACAGGGGCCAAGGGGAAGAGGCCCTGACCATGGAACAAAAGGGGGGACCCGCTAAACCACAGAACTTGTGCTGGGGAATGAAAATATAAAACAACAAACTAAAATGAGTGAATAACATTAATAAAATAATAGGAACAACAAGGAAAAAAACAAGGCAGGTATGCTAAGTTAGTGGACATCTCTAGCCACAGGTTGAGAAGGAACTGGAGTCTACCTCTCCCTGTATATCCTCAGGCTATGTAGGGCACAAGCATGAATCTGCACACACTGCTGACAAAAATCTCTGACTGAAGGTGCGCACACAACTCTAGTGGGGTACCCACAGGGACATTAGCTCAAAGAAGAGAAAAGATTCTATGGAGGACAAAATACATCTCCAACCCCACAGCACCATGACTAATTATTTCGCAGGACAGAAGGATACCTGAGGAGTCTTTAAACATCCAAGTGCTATCAGTCTCCTGCATCACAGTGAGTTTGTTTTCAGACTCTATCCGTCTGCTTCTCCTGAGCGAATGGGAGCTGGGTGCCCGGTGGCGAATCCTTCTGCTGAGCTGCACACGGGTTTTCAGGACACTGGAATCCAGTCTAGAAGTTTGCTTTTAAAAAGAAAAAACGTTACCCTCAAATGTGGGAATTTCAATTAGTCTGAAAATAGGATGGCTTGTTCCATAACTACTTCAGGTCTTATTTTTAAGCATAACCATATTTCAGCTTAATTAAGACTCCTTTTGTTTTCATTATTATCACCGTTATTTTAAACTCCAATGAAATCAAATTCGCTCAGAGTGCTGAGATGCTGCACAGTAACGGATATGGAACTACAGGGGTTTCCCATTTGGACAGTTCCCTGAACTCTGCTTAGTTCTGGATGTTTGAGCTGCATCACTGCAGAGTTATTTTTTCGATAACCAACTAGGATAATCTGTGTGCTCTTACTAGGTAACAATGGCCATCAGCCAATCAGAAGGCAGGGACTTGCAAAACCATAAAGTGATTATGCAACTCTCTCTCCCTTGGCTAGTCTGCTATATTTTCCCAGCTCTGATGGGTCCCCATCCTCAGAAATGTCAAGCTGTTTGCCAGGAACAAAAAGAATGAAAGTTAAATACCATGGCTTTTGGCAAAAAGGAGCTGATCAGTTATTTAAAACAATGCCATCTCCATGCACAAAGGAAAACTGAAAGGATTACAGTAGAGCAAAAGTAGAGCAGTTGTATTTAGTGATATAATTCATTGCTAATTATAACTGAGTCTTTTCCCAGAGGCCCTGGGCCCTCCATTCTCCCCTGAAAGCTTCTATTTGAAAACAAATATTTTAAAAGTTCTCAGTTCAGAAACTAACCATTCACCCAAACAGCACAGGGGCCTTCTGGACTTCGACCGTTCTGCTTGAAGTCATCACTGTTTTGAAATGACACTGGCAGCTGCTGGGAGGATGGGATCTATGGTCCTATAGCAGAGGCCACTACAAGGTACCCTACACCCAGAATCCACTGGCAATAAGGTGTGAAACCGCTGTGCTGCACTGCCCAGGATCTGGACTATTATCCTTAGTTACGGGAATAGAAAGCGTTAGCCTCCTTCAGACATTTTTACAGTGCAGTCTGTTGTTCAGCTACACTACTGCTATTCAGGTCAGCTACACTAATACGTAAATAGATGCATTGTAGCGGCTTCTGAGACACTCTACCTTCCACCTTCCCCAAAGCTGTAAATTCTACTACAAAACAAGGGGGAGTGTTTGTGTGTGTGTGTGTGGGGGGGGGTAGCTTTAGAAAAGACGAGCAACTCTTATTCAAGATAAATTCTTAATTCACAGAGACTGTACCTGAAAGGAGAAATCCACATTATCTGTAGGTATGCTCCGTGTAGCACTGACGCGGAGTACAGTCTGCATGACTAGGCACTATATTACCAACATTCCTGTGCAATACAGGATTCTCAATTTCTCAAAAGATTCTCTTTAAACTAAAATCATTTTAGGAACAGGGATTTTAAGACTGCAGAAAGATGGTCCCATTGTCCGTTAGAAAAGTAGTATTAAAATCCAATATCTGTAGCTTAATCTGCATTTCTCACAGCATGGTGAAGCACTAGCAATTTGTATCACTTAACTATGTTGTCTCAGAAATGTATGGCTTCCATTTCCTAGAGACATTAAACTCTTTTTCACAGCACATCTCCTAGGAGCAGACTGAAAAATGACCAACTGAAGTGCAAACCATTGTCCCTTTGGACTCTTAATAGAATTCACACAGCCTTAATAGGAAGGGCAGTCACAAGAACTTTCATTGCAATTTATCTTGAACTTTTCACACAAGAAGTCAATGAAGAAGCCTTAAAGGATAAAGAAGCATAGCACAAGGTCAAACATAAAGTTGGGAGAAGACATGACATAGCATTTTGCTAACAGTATAGGCAACATACTTAAAAATGAACAACTCTTTCCCTTTATGGAGACTTACATCAATGAAGGAGAAGTCAATGGTTTTCTCCTCAGGGTAGGTATCTGGTGGAAGGGGTCCCACAATACCATCAGTTGAATCCATATCAGTGCTGGAACGGTCCAAACTTGTGCTCCTTTGGTCTTTTGAGGAATCATGCTGATCGATTATGGAGGCAGGTTCCGTTTGAGAAGAGAGAGAAGACAGCCGGCTATTTGGTGGCTGCTTCCTTGTTGAAACAACATTGCTTTCTGAGGAAGGAGACTCGGGCACAAAGCTGCAACACAAGAGAATGAACTCTGAGGCAGAAGAATGCATGAGCGAACATACCTGCAAGTATATTTTATACCATGCATACTCAGAATGCAATCGTGATGTATTGCATGTACAGGAACATGCATGCAGCCATCAGACTATATAGTCCTAGTACTAGTGTGCGGCTTGAGTCATAGGGATAATGGATTGAGGCTGAGGTGAGGAGGCCTCTTCCATAAGCCCCAGAGCAACTACTGTGGCCACAACTGCAGCCACAAGTTTATACCAGTCCCCGTGGCGGTGGCGGAGAATAGCAGATGGATCCATAAATCACAGATCCATTGGCCCTGGTCCCAACCCAGCCCCACAACTCCCTGGAGTGCTGCACTGTAATAAAACTTTGCAAAGCTTCACAGTATACAGTGGTTGTGGACCTCCAAATCCAGCCATGCTTTCTGCAAAGGAGCAACACCAGTCCCACAAGACCAGGTCTTTGCACCGCCATAGATGACAGACAGAATGTGGCCCGTAATCATTCAGAGTGAAAGCTGAAACCACGTCTAGAGGTAAGAAATGTATCATTTGGAGACACTACAGGCCAGCAGAGAGGGGTGAATCATTTTCATTGTAATAACTTTTTCACCACAAATGGCTTCACTTAGGATTCACCTACACCAGCGGTACGTGTACCCCTAGGGGTATTCAGGGGTCTTCCAGGGGGTACATCAACTCATCTAGATGTTTGCTTAGTTTTACAACAGCCTACATAAAAAGCTCTAGCGAAGTAAGTACAAAGAAAAGCAGCAATTTTTCAGTGATAGGGTGCTGTGACACTTTTATATTTCTATGCCTGATTTTGTAAGCAAGTAGTTTTTTTAAGTGAAGTGAAACTTGGGGTATGCAACAACAATCTGACTCCTGAAAGGGGTACACTAATCTAGAAAGACCACTAATCACTGGTCTATGCACAAAAATGGGTGTGAACTTAAAATAGCAGTAAAGACACAGCAACTTTGCTTTTAACTTGGGTTCAACCCCAGGCTGCCCTGTTATACTTGAGCTGCTAATCGGCGTTTCAAGGCAAGTTGCCATGTCTTCTCTGCTATTTTAACCAGAGCCAGCTATTGCAGGTAGGCTAATCCGAGTTAAGGACGCCCCCCGCCACACACTTTTTTTGTTTTGCTGTGTAGACATATCTGCTAAGTCAGTGGTTCTCAAACTTTTTTTTCCCCATTGACCACTTGAAAATTGATGAGGGTCTCGGCAGACCACTTAATCATCTTTCTGAATGTTTTTTGTACCATTTTACTACCGTAAAACACTTTGGATAAAAGTGCTATATATATAAAAAAAAACTTTATAACAATTAACTTTTTTTGTTCTACAAATAAAAACACACAACTCATATTTTCATATAGTAGTTTTACCTTTCTAATGTGATGGATGTGCCCTCTCTTCCCTTCCACGGCAGTCCCCGAGCTGGGAAGGAGGTGGGTCTCTCCCTCTCTCCCCCACCATAGCAGCCCCCGAGCTGATGCTGGGAAGGAGGGCAGTCTCTCCCTGGCAGCCGCAGCCCTGGAGCTGGGGAAAGTTGCCTCTTCCTCTGGCCGCCGCAGCCCTACACATCTCAAATTCCCCCCACCCCCTCTTCTCACCCCACTGCCCCCTCCTACCTACCCCCATTCCCTCCAAGGCCACCACCTCACCTTACATGTGTGTCTTCTCCTGGGTCCTGGCACCTAATTAGTGAAGCCATGCCTGCGTGGCTCCACTAATTAGAGGGGGTGGCCCTTCATTCTCTAGTGTGCAGTCGCCCAGGCACCCACCTTAGAGGGAATTATCCACGGACGACCTGAATGGAGCTCGCATACCACTGGTGGTCCACAGACCACAGTTTGAGAACTTCTGCTGCAAGTATCAGAATTACACAAATAGAATACATATAGATAAATGTAAAATTTCAACTCAAGGCATAATTTTGTTTACAGCACATGTCCAAACAAATATCTGTTGTTAGGTTCTGCACAATGAAGCAAACTGTCTGGCGATCCTGAACCAGGTTCCACATTAGATGCACAAAAGGGACAGACCAGATGAGTTGGAACTGCAGCACATTTGAAAAGAAAACAAGTCAGAGGGATCATGCCCTGTCTACGGCCTCAGGAGCAATGAAGCTGAAAAAAGCATTATTTTCCTTATTCGTTTGAGTATGAAGTATCTGTATATGGATGAACATAGAGAAGTAAGCCCTAGTCTATTTTAGAGAGGTTCTTATACTGTGCTCATAATGGTAGTATCTGAGTGCTTTCCAGAAGTGCATTAAATGATGTGTCTAACATGTCGTGTGTTTGTTCTCTCGTTTTCTCCCCAGGGTAACAAGTGTGTGCAGGGGAGTGTTTTGTTTGGGAATTTTTACATTCAACCCCCACCCCCCTCCCCAATATATGTTAGACAAGGCAAAGTGAAAGAAATGTGCCTTGCACTCAGAGTGGAGGGTGGTGAGATTTGTGATGATCCTTAGCTCCAGTGGGAATTCATTTCATAGTCTTGGGCAAGCCCCTGGAAGTACCTGTAGTGTTTGCTCGGTACTTAGAAAGCTCTTTGAAGGGGCAGTGAAGAGTTGGGCTGTGAGTAATTTCAGCTACTTCTAACTCAAAGGAAAGTGAAATACTGTCAGCAATACGGTGAAATTAAATGTTGTCTGATTCTGAGCTGCTTAAGTCACTGGCCTGACCAAAGGTCAGCACTTCCATGACTCTCCGCTATCAGGGCAGGTGGGAAGATGCTATCCTGTGATTGGGAGGCATTAAGCTTAAACAGCATTAGGATTTATTTTTTGTCTTTCCTATCTGCAATTATATTTGTTATTTAAGGTTCGATCTAGTCAGAGAAATACTGAAGGGTTGATCCCTCGATAGGCAACCATCAAGAGTTTAACCACTCAAGAAAATGAAACCAACATTGGCCTGATGAACCATAGTTGCAGAGGTGGGACAGAGACGATCACTAGGTTAAATAAATCCTAAACTATTGTGGAATTTAGCAGTCGTAAGCAACAACTTGAACTACACCTGGGAGTAGCAGATAAGCAGGGCAGGGCACAGCATGCCAGTGTTATATATACACTCATCACAGTTCGCCCCACTCAGGATCTGTATTGCTAGCTCAAGATTCTGAGTTCTTTTAAAGAGTATCCCCTAAGTACAGCACACAAACGACTAGCCTCAAGATTTAAAAGGTGTGAATCACTAATGTGAGGTCAGTGCCAGAGAGGAAGGGCCACAGACACCCAAGAGTACTGCGGAAAGGGATCTGGGGGTCATAGTGGACCTCAAGCTAAATATGAGTCAACAGTGTAACACAGTTGCGCAAAAAAAAAAAAAGCAAACATCATTCTGGGATGTATTAGCAGGAGTGTTGTAAGCAAGACACAAGAAGTAATTCTTCCGCTCTACTCTGCGCTGATTAGGCCTCAACTGGAGTATTGTATCCAGTTCTGGGTGCCACATTTCAGGAAAGATGTGGACAAATTGGAGAAAGTCAGGCAGGGAGCCCACCCTAGCCCCGCTATGCCATGGGGCTGGCAATCCCACGAGCCAGATTGAAAGCCCCGACGGTACAGATCCAGCCCGTGGGCAGTAGTTTTCCCTCCCCTGGTCTAGATAATACTTAGTCCTGCCATGAGTGCAGGGGACTGGACTAGACGACCTCTTGAGGTCCCTTCAAGTTCTATGCTTCACTGTGGCAATGTGCTAACATCACATGCTGTGGAATACCATGCTAGTTACAGAGTTTCAATTTACTTTGCTTTCACTGGGTTTTCAAATGGTTTTCACTCCAGTTCAACATTAGGAGCATTTTGCCTCTCCAATCATTCTAATAATGAAAAACCCCTCCACTTTATTCTGGGGGTATTTCAGTGAGTCATTCACCTTGCCCCACCCCAACAAGCAATTGTTTTTTTAAAACAAATGATATGAAGTTACTCATGTTCAGCAGCAGATGGCATCAGAACCTAGAATTGGAATAGGAAGGTCTTTAAAGGCAGATCTTTTTTAAAAGACACACTTTAATAAAACAAATACCAAGGTTTTGAAGACCTGTGGATGATCATTAGCAGCAGTCACTCAGTCCTGGAAAACCTCCCCCCACTCCAACCCCAAACTTAGCTATCAAAGGAATCACTCTACATCCAGACAAAGACTTATATTGGTCAATGATCTTGCATAACCATTGTGGGACACAGGGTTGGTGCAGCATTTGATGTGGGAGGAGAGAAGTGGAAATAAAACAGTTTCATGGTGTGGCAAAGCTGATGTGGTGGTTTTATTTTTTTAAATGAGAAGCACTCATGGCTCAGACTCATTTCTGCTAAGAGTCCTTTCTGATTAAGTACCTGCTTTTGAGAAGTTTCTAGCTAAGCTATTTTAAGAAACAAAAACTCTTAAACTGTGTGCGCGTGCGTGTGTGTGTTAAATATATATATGTGAACATTTTTGAAGAGCAGCACTGAGTACTTGGTGTGATTGACATTGATAACAATCTTGAAAGGAAAACATTCAAGAATGGACTGTTGGAAAAAAAAGAGTTTTTATCAAGCAACAGCAAACATGTTAATTTCCAGGTTGGCAGGGACTGGTGGCACTGCACAGGCAGAGTTTCCAGCAGATAAGCAGAAGAAAGGTCTCTTGCTTCCCTCAACAGTGGCCCTGCTCCCAGCCAATTAAGAAGTGGTGCTAATGAGCTCCAGAGGGAACCTTGTCTAGTATTCTTTATTAGGAAAGATGGTTGGTATCTGCAACTTTAAGCCTTCTAGATTCAGAGGATGGAAGAATGCAGAAATGTGCTAAGAGAATTTTGGGACATAGCACCTTTTGTGGAATTTAAGCTACACATTTAAAAATCTTTTCTGATTTGTAAGTCTCTGGAAAAGTTCTCCCATACCACACCCTTGGACTGAAAGTGATGTAAGTGTGGGCAGCCTTGAAAAGTGAAAATGTTTTGCTTCAACAGTATTAGAAA